CCCCCCAAAACAAAAAAAAAAAAAAAAAAAAAGAATGAAATTATGGCAGACTGTGGCAGTTAGAAAATTTAGGGCAGAGTTTTGGAGAGGGTGCAACTACACAGAAAAAGAGTTCCAGAAATCTTTCATAGGAATCCTCCTGTGTCTTCGCTGAACACTAGAATGCACATGTGCAGAGTAAAAGTCTATAAGGTTGGGAAAGAACAAACAGAGAGCTGTGAGCTGAACAGTTCCTAGATCTCATACAGGGCAAATAATTATTTAAAATTCTAACATGCAGAGTGGAGGAGAGTTTTTATTGATCATGCAGGGCATTCAGTAGAGATCCTAGAAGGGCCATGCCTTAAGAGTGGGGCTAAACTATCCTTAGAGTAAAGGCTACTCCACATCTTCCCTAATATGGCTCAAAAACAAGCCTCAAAAGAACAAATTTATTTTATTTTTTCAAAAGAACAACTTTAACCAAACATAATTCCCCACAAGAACAAAGTCCAACACTTTTCCTGACAAGCAAATAGATACTCAACAACATACTATTCACAACGTCCAGCATCCAGTCATGATTCACTAGACATGCCAAGAAGCATGAACATATGATCCATGACCAAGAAGATAATCAGCCAATAGAAATGATAAAAGTTATGGACTATACTCCCAGAAATGATACAAGTTACGGGATAAGTAGACAAGGATGTTTAAACAGCTATTACAACTATGCTCAAATAGTTTTTAAAAGACATGCACATTGGTAAAGAGAAAACTGGAAAGTATAACAAAGAGTCAAATGAAACTTTTAGAAATGAAAAACACAATATCTGAAATTAAAAGTTCATTAGATGAGATTTACAGCAGATTAGGCACTACAGAAGAGACTTCTAATTTAAAGATGGAGCAATAGAAACTATCTCAAATGAAGCACACTGGGAAAAAATATTGATAAAAAGTTAGCAAAGTCTCAGTGACATGAGCGACAATATAAAAGATATAACATACATTTAATTGAAGTTCCAGAAGGTAGAGAGAGGGTGAAAGTATGTACTCTATTTTTATTCTTCAGTTTTATTTAAGAAATTTGAACATGTATTTTTAACTTGACCAAGTTGAAAGTTTGTCAATATCTTTTTCTTCTTGAATACTTAGTCTGATCAACTAAGCCTATATTCTCTTATTTTCTAGTATATTAGTTCTCATTACCTTCACATATTAGATATTATCATCTTATATAATCAATGTTTGTCTATGATTACTTCCATATTTACCATTTATTGGGATTCACCATTCTTTCTTGCATTTCAGATATTCCTTTTGAGCTTATTTCCTTCTCTCTGAAGTATGCCTTTTGGAACGTTTGTTTGTCTAAAAATGTCTATTTCATTTTTTTAAGCTGTTTATTATGAAAAATTTTAAATATATACAAAAGTAGAGAGAATAGCTTTTTCTAAAACTTTGGATGCATGTTAGATATTTTTCTCCACCTTTCATGTCTCAATTTCTATTTCATATTTTCTATCACTGGATCTCTGTGCTAAAGTTTCTGGAAAGGTTTTCAATTTTTCCCCTTGCTCTTCTCAGGACCAGGGCCAAGATATGAAAGTATCCCCACTTGTCTTTCTGTGTGTATGTGAAGAGGTATTCTAGTAAACTGACTAAAATTGTTGCTTTTCAGGCCTCCATACTTTATGTACATATCTCTGATCTAACCTACCCACCTTGCTTAAGCCCTGAACTTTATCTTCCATGCATGTGATATCCTTTAATATGAAGGCTTTAAACTCTGAGGGATTGGCAGATATTCCTAAGGCAAGCAATGGCTTTGGTGCTACTTAGTCCTTTAAATTTGTTCTTTCATTTTGTTTCTGGATTCTGAGGGTCATCATTACTTCTTGCCATTTTAATCATATTCATTTTGAAATTATATATATTTCTCTGTGTATATACACATGTATATATATGAATATTTTCTAGGCTTTTAATTGTTTAATGGCAAGTTTTTCTGGTTCTCTTTTTCACAATATTGTTGGAAACAAGTCTATTTAATCTTTAAATTGCAACAACTGCAAATCTTGAATTAAAAATTAAGAAAGAGCATCACTGCCACCTGGTGGTAAGACCTACTATTACCATATCTAAACAAGAGCCACTATGACAAACAACCTCACTCCCAACACATTGTCACTAAGTTCTGTCAGATCTTTTGTCAGTTCTTTCAAATCTGTCCCTTTATTTCCATTCTCCTACTTTCTCTCTTTTTTTTTTTTTGGTAAAATTATTGTTTTGAACTGGTCCCTTCCTTTAGTTACTATTCTTTCTATATATTTCCTGTGTTCCTATTGTCACACCTTACTTTTACAGTTTGACATTAATTTGATGGATTGTGTATTAAGTTTTTGCTCATGAGCAAAAATTCTGGAACCAATAACAGCAGTCTGACTAGGGATGAGAAGAAAGCAGAAGTCCAGTAAGTGCTGGCTGAACTGAAGAAGGCATTTCACACCATTTGCTCATTTGCCAAATTTCTCTGGGAGGCAGCATATGCACAGAATTCCCCAACTTTTTAAAAATAACAGCTGATGAAAAACATTCACATGCTTAACTCTCCTGTAGGTTTACCTAGATTTTCTAAAACAAATTATTTTTAATTACAAAATATATACATGTGCAATATAAAAAAAATGCAGTGTTCTACAAATGAGTAATTATATTGATGATGTTGGGAGCTGGGGTTTTCACTGTGGTAGAAGATTCAAATATGGAATAGGGAAACACAAGGAAAAACCCTGCAGGGGTTAGATTAGAATTGGAGATATCAGTAAAACTTGTGGTTTCTAATATATATGTTTCCTGGATCCTTCTGTCAAAGGGGCCTAAAACAACGACAATCCAGGGGAAGGAAGCTACTAAAGGCAGGAATATAAAATGTGAGTTATGAAAGTCCAGATCCCAGTTTATCCCTGAAAGATGTACTTTTCTCAAAGTCAACCCACCTAATTTTTAGTGGATCTGGACCACTCTCTGACTGGGTCCTGTTATGAGTCTCTCATGTTATGATTTTTTTTTTTTTTTTGTCTTTTTTCGTGTCCGGTAACGGATCGCAACCCTCAGTGTCGCGCCCGTACCGGACCAGGACCGGCAACAGGATCACAACCCTCGATGCTGCGCCCGCACCTCGCTCAGCCAGCGAGCGGGAACCGGTCTGTATGTGGGATCCGAACCCTCGGCGGGAGTGCCGCCGTGCTCCCAAGCGGCGCACTGTAGCAGTGCGCCACCGGGCCGGCCCCATCCCATGTTATGATTTTAATTAAAAACACCAAGTTGATTAAAGTATGAGAGGATACTTCCTACCCTCAGAGATATTATTTATAATATTGTGCATTATCCTTATAATCTTTCTGGATATAAACAAATAACATATCCTAGAAAAACACCATTTGAGAAACATTGTAGATAAACTATCAAAACTTTAAATACTTTTCATGGTAATTTTAAGACAAAAATGCAATTTTTGTATTACCACATTATTTATTCTACATATTTTAAAGTGATGCTCATTTATATATACTGCAGTTGGAAATAGGGAATACTTTTTTGGTCTCCCATAGTAGGCTACCGGTTTTAAAAACTGAAGTCCTTAAACCTCTGAAGGCAGAATAAGAAAAATCTTCATTTGAAACCTTGAAGTAGTCTTTTAGTGGTCTATGTTATAAAAAAAAAAAACAGTCAAGATGTTTGATTTATTCTATTTAATTCTTTTGGTGGGGGGAGGGGAAGAGGTTAAAAAAAAAAAAAAAAGTTTGTTTTTGCTTCAAAGAGCTTTTCCCAAAGAGTGGAGATTCATTTTTATTACATGTCAGCATAGATGAACAACATTCTCCTGGCTTTAACGACAATTTGAATTCAAGGTAATATAATATGTGTTCTTCTGGAATCCAGTATATTCATTTGCACATATGGGGTATTTCTTGAGTATTTGGTCTCATATGAAAGGAACTGGCACTTGGGCTTCAAGAACAAATAAAAAAAAAAAAATCACAAATCCAACTTGTCTTTGATTTGGGTCCAGGCTATTTACTAAGAGATCACTCAGCAATAATGGCCTCAAACACTTAAATATCGTACGAAACTGCAATTAATTAAGGTACTGCTCATTCCAAGAACTATGCCACCAGCGAAGGAATGAGGGGAGAGTTATGTATGGACTAAGTTCAGAGCAAAATATTAATAATCTCCTTCTCACTTCTGCAATATGTATAAATAAAGTAGAGGAGGGGAAAAGAATTATACAAATAACGTTAAATAAAAAGTGCATACAGAACTGGGAAATCTTTTTTTCATTAAGTTTGTCACTTATTCTAGTTCAATAAAATGCTTGTAAGGAAAATAACCACTTATGGCAGAAGACTAGTTACATTGTTACTGTTCAGAACTTCTTGTGAGCAAAAAAATGAATATCAGTCAACTTTGCTAGTTTAAACTTAATTATTTGTTTTAAGTTGAACATCTATTTTATGTCTTGAAAATCCAAAGCAGAAAGTAAAATCATATAGAATGCCAGAAACTTATCAATGCATTTAGACAGATGTTTGCTTGTAGTTTTTGGTATCCAAAACCTTTTTTCCACACATCGCACAAATGCCTGAAACAAAAGAAAATGTGAGCAATCAAATCATAATACCAACTGTATGGCTTATTTAAGTCACTCCTGAAGCTTAAAACATAATTTAACAGCATCAGAAATGAGAAAAAGAAAATATATGCTTTTAACTATAAATAAGTTATAAGATTTATTTTGCCTTAGAAAAAAGAATATTTGACTAATAGAATTTACAAAAGCCTACTACTCCTTTTCTGTTAGCCAAATCAGCAGCAAATGAAGTACGTTTGATGTGAATAGAAAAATGGTATTAAACGAAACTTACCCTTTTTGTAGGCACAGCCTTGGCAGTAATGAGAACCCGGCTGGTGCACAGAACTTTTACAAATTCTGCAAGTGGAGAACTTATTCTTTCCATATGGATCAAATCTAGAGAGTTTAAAAAAAAAATGTATACTACAATAGAAACACTCTTAAATAACCCCACTTAAGCAACACATGGGATTAATCCACATTCTTCATTCCCTCTATCAAACTCTGTAATTAACAGGCATAGCTCTCTTCTAGCTGGCTACTGTACAATATACCCACACACCTCTGCTCCTTCTAGGTTAGCTATATGCTTACAAAGAGTCAGTTTTATTTATTCCCAAACCTGTTCGTATTAGTTTTTTGAGGGTACTTCCAAAAGTTCATGGAAAGATTAGTATTATCTTTTAATTCTATTTTTCCACAAATTTCTTGAAGAATCCTCATATTTGTCATTCTATTTGTGTGATACAAATATTATGGAAACTGATAAAATGTTGAGTGCAAAAGAGTGACTGATTCCATAAAAACTAAGTGACTGCCATAGTATGACCAGATAAGTGTGAATCATTAAAACTGCTATTGAATTAGTTAAGGGTAAGACAACTATTAAAAACTGGGGGGGAATTCTAAGTAAAAGGACACCATACTTTGCAAGTGTCAGTTTTGTTCCACTTTAAAGATATGGAAAATAAATATTCTGGTTATGATTTATGGAGGAAAATGACGTAGAACTCTTATCAGTAGACTCATACTCAAAAGGCCTTGTCTCAATACCAATTGATTGATAAGTGCATCCACAGTTATGTGCATTAATTAAAAAAAAAGGTATGTATATCCTTTAATGATTGCCTACTTTAACTGATGTTTTCAGTCAACTCACTCAATCCCTCTGGATAAAAGGGCTCCTACTATATAAAAACGCCATCTCATATTGACTGCAGTGCAAAATAACTTTAGAAGAAATACTTCCCCCTAAATCGGCAATAATATTCTGATTTAAAACTGTTCCTGTAACTACAGAACGAGTTTTTGTAATGATCATCACAGACTGAATTCCAACACTGTCCTAAACTGATGTCTTCTCCTGGGGTACAGCACAATGGCCCATTTTCAAACATTAGTTTTTCCAAACCCAAAAGAATACCACTTTACTCCCCACAGGAGAAGATAGACACTATTTTTTCTTTCCATAAGCTCCATTTATTTGGATCTGTATGTCTGGTGATTGATTACTTTTTCTTAAAACCATATTTTACCATTCTAAAATGTATATTTTAATCTCTGAAATCTAACAATTAATTGGCAGAGTTTTGTCTTTCTTAAAGTAAGGATGCATCTTATAAATAATGGTATCTATCATAGATTCAAAGCAATACAGTAGTACACTTTCCAAAGTGAGATATTTAGAGTACCCAAAAGTAATAGCTACTTTTTGATGATATAGGAGTAAATGTGGGAGCATAAAGGAACTGGAAGTATATAAAATCATATCATCTGTTTTTGCTCTACTTAGCCAATAAAACTTAGTCTTAATAACAACTTAGTCAATAAAAATTGTATGGCCTTAGAAGACATCAATAAATCATTCAACAATATATATTGTGACACTGCCTTAAAGATTGAATCTAATGTGCTCTTTTATATCCATTATCTAATAAACATCTACTATGTGCCACGCAGTATATGTAGTAAAAGCTTTATTCCTATTGTTATTTCTAATCCTTGGGATAATATCATAAAATAGGTATTTATTCATTCAGTAAATATATACTGAGTGCATACTATATGCCAGTTACTGTTCTAAATACCACAGATGAACACCATAGACAAAGTTTCTGCCCTCGTCAAGCTGATATTCTGGTGAGAAGAATAAGAAAACAGACAATATAAAAAAACAAGCAAGCTTTTCAGATAATGGCAAGTGTTACACAGAAAACTCAAAACAGGTTTAATGTGGCAGAGATGAAAGGAAGGAGAGAAAAGATTAGTTTAGATGCTGGTTAGAGAACCCTCTCTGAAGGGGTGATATTTCAGCTGAGACCCAGTAACAAGAAGAAGCCAGGGGTGAGTTTCTTTCTAAGCTCTGAGAGATGAGCTCTAGGGGGGAGGGCAAGCACAAATCTCTTTAGATGGAGTAGATTTATCTAATGGGGATGGTGTAGGATGAATGAGGAGAAGTGTGTTACAATGAAAAGTCACAGAGGCGGGAGGGGTCATATGATGCGCGACTTTGTAAGAACATGTTAAGAGGTTTAGATTTCATTCTACGTGAAAAAGAAAACCAGTAGAGGGTTTTAAGCAAAGAAATTACATGACATTTTTAAAGGAACACTCTGGTTACTATGAGACAACTGTAGGAAACTAGAAAAGAAGCAGGGAGATTGTACGAAAGCTATTACAATATCTAAGTAAGAAACATTACTTGTTTGGAAACAGCAGCAACATGGACAAAAGCAGGTGGATTCAGGTTATATTTTGGAGGGAGATCCAAAGAACCTACTGATATAGAAAGTGAAGGAAAAGGGAGGAATCAGTGAAGAATTCTAGCTTTTAGGCTTGAACAACTGGATTGGTGTCACTAACCATGATTAGAAGACTGAAAGAGAAAGAGGTTATCTGTTAGACATCAAATTAGTTAAGTCAAGTAAGCAGTCAGATATATGTTTGGAGCTTAGCTGAGAAGTCAGAACTAGAAATACAAATTTGGGACTTATTAACAAACAGTTTGAATTTAATGCCTGTGAACTAAAGATACTTTAGGGGAGTTTATAAACAGCAAAAAAAAAAAAAAATAGGACTGAGTCCTGAGGCACTCGATTTGAAAAGGAACAGCCAGGGTATTAGGAGGAAAACCAGGAGAGTACAGTGCCCAGAAGCCAAGAGAATAAAGGTTGCCAAAAAGAGAGAGTTATTGAGAGATTAAGTAAGATACAAACAGAGAAGTGGCCATTACTTTCAAAAGTCACTTGTGGTACTGACAAGAGCAGTTTCCGGGCTGTGGTGGGGATGAAAGCATTATTAGAGTGGCTGAAGGAGAGAATGGAATTTAAAGACATTGAGAAAGTATCTACATAAGGCTTTTAAAAACTTTTGCTGTGAAGGGAAGCAAGGAAATGGAGTGGCAACTGGAAGGTTCATGAAATTTTTAAGATTGGGCCATAAACTGTTTTTAATAGGGGAAACATTTTTATTCCCATCCTCAGTGAAGGGAAGCAAGGAAATGGAGTGGCAACTGGAAGGTTCATGAAATTTTTAAGATTGGGCCAAAAACTGTTTTTAATAGGGGAAACATTTTTATTCCCATCCTCAGATGAACAAGTAAAGTTCAGAAAGGTTAAGAAATTGGTTTAACTTGCTTAAGGTCACAGGGCTAGACAGTGACAGAGTCCAAATTTAGGTCTGATTCCAAAACTTATCATCTTTCCACATTTCACTGTGCCTCTGATTTGTTGGATAATTGAAAGGCTGAGAAAATAAAAGTCATGTTTACCAGTGAAATTGTAAATAGAGAGTAGCACTAATATCTTTATATAATGATACAGTGAGGAGGAACATGGTGAAACCAGCAGTTATAACAGATAGCTTGGCTTTGCATGCAAGGAACTGCTTGTTTTACCACAATGGAATGATGCACCACAAATTCACCCACCTTGCTTTTTTTGAAGTCAAAGCTTTATTTTCATTCAGCTTTCTTCCACCACTTTCTGTATCAAAATATACATATATTATAGTGGGTTACTTCTACACATTTAACACATAACATATAACATTTAACAATTAGAGAATTAAAAGTTCATTCTCTGGCCTCCTAACAATAGAACTGCCTGTATCTAAATTTTTTAAATTCTTACTTAATAGCTGGGTTCTTAAGACATTACTTAAAAAGAAAATACTTATTAGGGAAACAATAAAATTTGCCTAAAACCAATCATTTTACTTCTTAGACTCAAAGTAGTTTTTAGGAATGGGTCTACATTTACACTATCTACTGTAAAATCTAGCAGCCACTATTTGGTGTCATAGATCGTGAATTCAGTGAAAGAGGTTCTTTTCCTTCCCTTTGAAAACATACTTCACTCTGTGTATTTCATGATAATGAAGGTGAAAACAGTTTAAATGATTTGTTCAAGAATATAAAAATCCTGTGAGGAGAGGAGAAATTAAATACAGATTCCAATTAAGCTGTTAAATACTGTGATATAGTCATCCCTTGAAAATCATTTAATAATTTTGCCATCTCCTACATACCATGTTAGAAACCTGTACATGTAACTGGGAGAACTAAATAGAAGACATTAAGTCATTGGGGGACCCAGTATTCTTTAATGTTTAATAGATTAAATACTTTGGACACATAACATTTCATTTTACAAATAATGTAAAAGCTAAAATACTATTATTCACAGGAAGTATTTGATTCAATTTCTATTTTATAAAATAAAATAAAATACCTGTGGTATTCCTAGCACCATCTTTCCATGTATCTGGAGTGATAACAGTACCAAGTTTCTTTTCACCTGTTATAACAAGATAGTAAAAGGGGAATTAGAATTTACTACCTAATAAATACACTACATTATGCCTAAGGTTCATAACAGCATCAACAGTCATGTTACAGTAGGAGCCTATTAATGCTGGGGTAGGGGCCAGTGAACTGAGACTTAAGTTATTAACTGTGGGCAATGGATAACTGACCCTTAGTAAAATTTTTAGGATAATAAGATGACTTATAATAGTCTTTCACTGTCTGTACTTTAAACAAATCTGATACATCTGTTAATTCTATAAATATTTACTAAGTATCTATGATGTATAAACCACTATACAGAGTATTAGAAAAAATAAAGTGATGGATCAAACAAAGCTCTAGATTTCAAGAAGATTATACTATACTAATTTCTTTCTTTTTTTTTTTTTTGTCTTTTTTGTGACCGGTAAGGGGATCGCAACCCTTGGTGTGGTGTCGCCCACACCGTGCTCAGCCAGTAAGCGAACCGGCCATTCCTATATAGGACCCGAACCCGCAGCAGGAGCGTCGCTGCACTCCCAGAGCCGCACTCTTCCGAGTTCGCCACGGGCTCGGCCCTATACTAATTTCTTTTTTTTTTTTTTGTCTTTTTTGTGACCGGTAAGGGGATCGCAACCCTTGGTGTGGTGTCGCCCACACCGTGCTCAGCCAGTAAGCGAACCGGCCATTCCTATATAGGACCCGAACCCGCAGCAGGAGCGTCGCTGCACTCCCAGAGCCGCACTCTCCCGAGTGCGCCACGGGCTCGGCCCTATACTAATTTCTTCTAACAACAGTTCTTAACTTCTGTGGAACCTAACAACAGTTCCACAGGCAGACCTTAGGAGATACATGAACAAGGTGAAGTTGGACACAAACCTTTTTCCTGGTAAGAGTCTACAACCTTCACCAGACTCTCAGAGATCAGAGATTCCCCAAAAGTTAAGAACCATTCAACTAAAATATAAACTAGAAAACAGAAAGTATAATAATTGAGCGCTAAAATAAATTGAGAGCTAAAGTACTCGGAGAAATCCCATGCAGAAAGAAATAACCCTGGCTAGGGAAACCCAGGAAAGTTTTTTGGGGAAGGCAACAGAGAGGGTTTGAATAGGTGGCAATGTGACTGCAAAGGAAGAGGAGGAGGAAAGAGGATGAAGGCAAACTAGACAAAGGATACATCCTAGAAAAGGCATGGAAAACTCAGCGTACACATGGGCACACACAGTAGGTTGGTTTGGCCAAAGGATGAAGAGGATAAGGGTCAGTGAAGATGAAGTTGGAAACATAAGCGGGGCCTTATTGTGGAGGGTCTTGAATGCCAGCCTCCAAGTATAGAAATCCCAAATTATTCTCTGCAGACTGAGAATGTATTAAATGTTTTAAATTAGGGAAATGATAAATTGCGCTTATGTTTAGGTTCAATTCAAACATCTGTTGTGCTTACTCTAAGCCATACCCTGGCGTAATGATGAACAAGAATGGATAAGACAAGACCCTTACCCTTTGGTGCTAGTGTCTAGCATTTGGTAGCAGTACAATACTTGCTGCATAAGTGAAAAGGAAAGGTGAGAAAATGCAAGAGGGGAGAGTGGCGTCAGGGTTTAAATGAGCACTTTTATATGGAAGGGGAGCTGATTAAAGATTCCAGAGGAGATAGAGACAGATAAAGGAACTGGAAGAGGTGAAAAGGAATGGCAAAAAAGGCACATGAGTAGAATTTACCTTGGGAAAAAAAATTCAAAAAAGATAAGATGGGTATGGATGCAGATATGTTTATTTGCGTAGTAAAAGTAAGAAGTTGTGAGTGTTCCCTTTTGATAACCTCACTTTTCTTATACCTATAAAAAGGTATTTTTCAATGGAGAATGAAGTGGATGAGGGTAGGGGGAAGTTTACATGATTGGAAGGTTTGGAATAGTCACTAGGGAGTAAAGGTGAGAGAGCTGACTAAAGTAAAAAAGACCAATGAATAGTAGTAAAGATCTCACAGTTTAGGAACTGTAAATTCCCTAATCACAGTTGGTACCAACGAACTGTGCTACCAATTGGTTCATTTATGCAATTTTCCACAGAGGTCCTTATTTGCATATGGGACAGTTTAGAGAGAAGAGAATCTACAAGAAGGGAAAGTGGTGAGGGGCAAGGTGAATGGTAGCAGATCATATTAATATAACTCACAGTGAAAGGGACCTCAACTAGGATACTGAAGAGGGAAAAGAGAGGCTAGTTAAGTAAAATAAGCAGGACATGGCAACTGTCTGGATACAGGTTTACAAAGGGATAGAAGAATGAATGAAAGGTGATTGAAGCTTTGTGAATGACTGACTGGGAGGATTATAATGTCATTAAATGATGGAAGAGAAGGTACAGATTTGTGAATTATGATGAATTCTCAGTTTTTGAAGTATTAAACTACTAGATAACCAGGTATAGCTTCCCAGTCTTATCTAGAAAAAAATTGCTTAATTGGTGCTTAGGTAGAAGAGAAGTCATGGATGGAGATGTGGATTAGACATTCATTAGCACAGATGTGCTACTTCCAAAACAGAGTCAAAAGGAGTTCTTCAAAACTCTTCAAGAAGAGTCAAGAGAAGGTCAAAGATCATTGGGAAGCATCTACTTTAAGGAAGAAGGAGAATAAAAACACTCGGTGAGAATAATGGTTAAAGGGGGGAAAAAAAGCACAGGGAGAAGTAAACTCAAACAAAAGCTAGTTAAAGTATCAAAGGTACAGAGGAGTAGAGGAAGACTGAAAGAAAGGTCCTTGAACATGGTGATTAGATCACTGCTGAATTTTTGAAAGTTCTTTCAGTAGTGCGGTAAGATAAGTCAATTTATAAAGTTCTAAGAAGTAATTGTGAAAATGTGAAGGCAACAAACAGACAACTCTTTCAAAGAATTTATGGCGAAGGGAAAGAGAGAGCTAAGGTAGCTGCTTGAGAATGTAGCTTTACATATAGGGGAGATCTGAGCTTATTTACAGGGTGAATGGAATGAGTTGCTATATTGGGAGATATAACAAAATATAATAGCGTATATACTTATTTGAGGAATAAGATGATACAGGAAGTCAGAAGTTATTATTATTTTTTTTTGTCTTTTTTCCGTGTCCGGCAACGGATCGCAACCCTCAGTGTTGC